AGATGTAGGAACAATCCTAGCCAGCAATATCCAGTTGAAATTTATCTGTAATACTGGGTTTGTTTTCCTGGTTTTGCGATTTGTTTTTGTCTTTTGTATTTTGTTTGGGACCCAGTCCTAATCTACTGAAATCAACTTGTAAAAACAGGACTAAGCTGAATTATTGTTATGTTGTAGCAGTTCAGAAGTGTTTAAAATTATTTAATTTATTGATTCTTCATACCATGTACTAATAAACAATTTGAAAAAAATGACTATGACAACAGCAAGTCTTATTTGTGCTTCTGAAGACTAAAGGAATAGTTTGCTTCCATCTAACCGATTTTTGAGCCAGTGTTATTGTCTTCAACTTATACAGAGCATTGGTGTGTTCCTTGATACTAGCGCAGAATATGTTGTCCTTTGTCCCCCCCAATACCATACTATTGATTATGCTCTAGGTGTACGAGCGTATCAAAACTGTTATTAATCCCTGGGCTAGGAACAGGTGTTTCTGTCCTGGCCAGCATTGTACACCTTTTAACTGATTGATATCAGCTTGAGATTACAACAAAGACAGTATGTACCAACTGCACAATAATTGAGGAATATGCTTGTAGTACTACTAGGTAGTTTTTTCCATGGCATGTGAAATGCATCTAGCATGGGAAGAGATAAGTTTCCAACCAATTACTTGGAAACATCTGGTCGCAGACCAGCCATATTTGCTTACAGTTTCATGTACCTACACCTGGGGTTAATATTCTACCTCTAGATCATTAAATAAACAGCGTGACAGTTATTCAGTCCATGGAAATTGGTTCCATGTGACTGGAAAATACAGTTAGTAAAATGCTGATGATGAGCCCACTTGGTTAAATAATGAAGGACTGACATCTGTGCTAGGGAAAAAAATGTAAATGTTATGGTAAATTGGCAGAGGTTATCTGTATGTATGAAATGTAGGTAAATGATAGTGTGTAGTCAACTGTAAATATTTACTGTACAGGGGATCACAGCACACGTGTACTTCAAATGTAACACACTAGTCAGGGGTTCTTGTTTTCAAAAATGGGATGTCCCAGCAGGCTCAGAAGCCTGGGTGTCGACTTGCATGAGGAAATTAACTCTTAATTATGTCACCATGCATATTCAATAAAATCAATAAAATCCCAACCCAAGGTACATGTATAGACAGAGCATTTTAACCAGCTTTTGTCCTCTATGAGAACCTACATTTCCTCTCTGCTGAAGGCCACAGCCGACTTACTCCCTTCCATGTCTGGAGAGAGGGGACACTTGCTTTCACCCACACAAAGGACCCTCTGGCATAAGAACCTTGACTAAACAGCTCTCTGAATTCTTTGTCCAAGAAAGTTTTGGGTATGGGGGAGAGGAAAAACCCAAGTTAAAGGATGACAATGATCACAAAACACCTGGCATGCCTTGTAGGATTTTTTAAAGCAACATTGTGTAGGGAGGGACAGTGACAGGTAAAAACTCCAACAGGAAGTCAGTGGGCTTTTGTCACCTGGGCAGGCAGCTTTTATCACCTGAGCGGAGTTCCTGAATGGGAGAAGGGCTTGCTGTTGGTGGAGAAGGCAGAGGGTTTCATTGATGGTATAGGGATGCTTAAATGATGACACTGTTAAGATGAATTGACTGGAACTGAAGTGACAGTTAAGCTACAAGAGTAAAATGAGTAAGGTGATACATTTCGTTCTCAGGTATGTGAAAGCATACATGTGAGTGCAACTAAAAAGAGGAGTAGGTTGGGGGTGTCACATTACCTAGCCATTCTGCTAAACCTTTCGGTAAGTGTTGAGTTTCCAAATAGGTTTACCTGACTGTCCTTGACAACTGACCTGCTTACAGCATGCAGTTGAATTCATTTTGTTATTAGTTTCCAATCGGAAGTGGGATGGTTGCAATTTACAAGGTAGAGTAGCAAGCACAGGATTTAGTTTTGAATAAATAGATTTATTTGCAAATGGTTTTATGTGAGATTAGTTTTGTGATTAAAGATTTCACTTTCTACTTAAAACAATGTTTCACATGTTGGACATTTCTGTTGTTTTGAACCCTTTATGAAAATGGCTACACCTGGCAACTTTGTCTTCAGAGCTGGCAGGACTTTCAGGCTGGAACTGGAAAACTGATTCTGCTAACCAGCCGTCTGCAAATAAAATCAAACTACATATATCATTAACATGTCTGCAGAATTGCTGCAGATGTTTTCTTTGATATTCTTGAATGTTGTTAGGTTATGCACGGTGATCCTGCGGGTTTTTTTTTTTTATGGCACATGCCTAATTTGGGGGTGGGTTTTCAAATTTGGTAAAGCTGTCTGGCACACGAGATAAGCAGCCCCGAATGATCCACGGGAGCAGCCAGCTTTCTGGCCAATCACCACACTACTTTCTTTCCCTCCCTGTGTCTCTCCTTGCCTGACAATGGATTTCACCTTGGGCCAGGATCATTTCCTCTTGGGTGCTTGAACATCTGTCCTTTGAAAACAAGGCTTTGAAGGTTTTGAAGGGCTGATAAACCACTTACCCACCGGTACTGGAGGTGTGCTTTGTCCCAGATTGGGCAGAATTCTCCGAGGGAACCTGAGCTCATGACCAAAGTGAACATTATCAAAGAGGACATATTTTTGCTCGTCAAATTTAAATACAACATGTATATGTATAATTTACACAAACCATGTACATCGCTAGGTGCACTTTTGCCACATTTCCTGCAAAAAGGAGTCTTTGAAAACTAAACAAATAAATTACTTTTAAGTAGGCCTATACCATTTGATTGATGGGAACTACACACACATTATTAATTTTTGGGTTTATTTGTACTGATCGTGAAAGCCTGATTAGCATAATTCTGTCATACAAGGAATATGAAAAAATCATTAATCAAGAAAAACGTTTAGTTTGGCACTATCTGAAAGGTTTGTCAGATGAGCGTCATGCAGTATCCCACAAGTTTCATTTTTTAATTGTTCCTTCCCTGGTCCTTTGTTGTAACACCACACGGAGGGGACTATGCCACACCACCATACACACCATCCTCAACATCATCTCCCGTACTCGTAGCCCTGTAAATACCCTTCCCCTGTGCGTGTCCCCAACCCTCCCCCCCCCATCACCTGCACCCTTAGCACACAGAGTGTACACAGTCTCAGTCAGGTGTTGGTGGCTTTAATCATGTTAATCATTCACTGCAGCATTGAGTCCATCCAGTCTGAATAGCCACCAAGCTGCCGGGTCCAGACATCCTGGCACCGCTTGCAAGGTGTACCCTTTCTCTTGGTAGATTAGGGGGCGTGAGCAGCCTATGCGGGCTTTGGGGAACAGGTGTTGGGGTACCCTAGGGGGGGGGTTGTTTTGTTTTCTGTATTATACATTTCTGCATTGTACATGTCCATATACGACTTTTTGTCTGTGGATGCACATCTGCCATAGGCTGTGTCAATAAGAGAACATATCATTTTGAATGTGAGACAAACAGCTTGAATTAATTATATTCATCACGGTCATTTCTTCTCGGCACTTAAAAAATACCACAATATGTTTTTGGTCAACCTTGATGACTGTACTTAAAGGTTTTAAGTACAGTAGTTTAAACTACTGAAACATTTGGAAAAAACTCTCCATAGATGCAAAGATTGAATTTTTCCATCCTTGCTACAGAGTTGTAAAGGGGGAAATGTTACACCCATATTGATCCATCCTCTGGCGTAATCAAAACTGTAAAAAAAAACCTGATAAATTAATGTGGGAGCAGAATAAAGATCATATACATGTAATTCGCATAATTAGTCATTAATTAAGCATTCAAGAATGCAATTAGCTAGCGCAGAGTGTCTTGAACTGAAAACCCTCTAAATTACAATGATTACCATAACAAAACAACAATCAAGCCCAGATTAAGACCTTTGCCAATTAAATTAAGTGATCCCTCCGTCCACACAGTCTGAGTGGCCTGCACTTTAAATGTCTCTGGTGCATCGGCCACAGCTTGAATCCGCGCAATGTTGACACACTTAGAGCTGGCAAGTGTAAGCATGTTCGTTGTCCTACAAATTTCCAGTCGACTGCCCTGCCAACATACCACAGGGAGTCGCACTAATGCAATAACCCTCCATTCCGGGGACCATCAGCAGACTAATGATGTGGGAATTGCACGGGAAATCAATGAGAGGATGACCTGATATGTTGCAGCAATGTTAGAAACTCGTTGCCAGTTATTTGTGCATAATAGTGGATATGTCCTATAAGGTTTTGTATTTGTTGGGGCTTTCGTAAGTCAAGAGGCTTCGGAATTATTGTTTTGTTTGTATACGAGAACAAATATGCAAAGTTTACAAAACCACTTTAATGGTACCCTGTACTTACCCACCCCCTTCTCCTGTAAATACTGAGTTTTTAATGTCACAATAATGAAAAGGGTGTCTCATGATTAAGTAGTATTAGCAAAAGTGACATGTCATTTGTAATTTTGTGAAATGTCATGGATGATTAAGCAGACCATCGGCAATTTATATCTTAGCATTTCTCAGTGTTGTGCTGCTAATGCTATCATTTGTTTTCTTTTATTCAGAAAGTAGTTTCTAACAAATACTTGAAAATTTGACTCTTTTTTTCAATCCAGGTGTAAAAAAAGGGCTTCCCCTCCATCAAAAATAAATCCTTGAGAAACAACCTCACAAAGACAAGAAAACATCTCGCACAACAGAGACAAATTGAATGAATCCGAATGAATGGATCCAACCCTTTTCTCAAACAGGCCACTGGCTGACTTGTTGAAGTGTTTTGGAGGGTGTAGTTGTTGAGTAGGCATTTTGAATACAATTTTTGATGAAGGCATGAAATAAACGGCACCAAACCAAACTGGTTATCATGATGAATCTGATACTTTCTAACATGTCACAGTAACTAGGAAGCACTATTTCACTCTCGAGCAAATTCAAACAAACCAGTTGACCCAAACTGTGTTCTGTTTAAACCCTGTTGGGCATTCAGGTGATGCTGACGAGGACCTGGCGAGCTCCTGCAGCCCAGATGAACTGAGTGACCACACTGACGCAAGCCCCTCCCCCCTTAGCCATTCCAATTACCACGGCAACAGCGATGGCCTAGACAGCGATACTGGAGACCGCAGTTTCAGTGACGAAGACGAGCAGGACATCAGCGAGAGGGTGGAACGACGCAGCCCACTCGGGAAGCTGGGCAAGGATCCAGACGGCAGAGTGAATCTGGAGGAGTATCTGAACCGTAGCGATACAGCAGTTATCTATCCTGAGCCAGTTGATGACATTGACAATGACAGTAATGGTATGCTTGCCTCCATTTTCTTTCTTTCCCCCCCCCCCGAAGGAAGATTGGAAGGGAACTCTCACCTATTCTCTCTCATTCACAGAAATGAACGTGTTATAAGTTGGTCCCCTTTTAATACTTAGTTTATCAAGAAATGTTTTATAATTACTTAAATCTTTTAACACGGGGTATGGGGAGGGGGGTTTGCACTACCATCCCCTTAATTGTTTCATTGTTACCAGAACATGAAAATCCTACATTCATATAAAGGATACTTGCATGACATTGACACCTTGTACTATTAATCCTAAAAAAAGTTTAATAAATTCTAAGAATTTATCTTTTGTCATTTATGAAATTGATAATAAAATTGGTTTTGCATAATGAAAAGCTTGTTTGAATTTGGTCGTATGTCCTTCAAGTAATGATTTAAAGTACAAATTGGGAGAAGCTATTCCATTTATACTGTACAATTAATGTGTCCTTAAAATACATGCATGAGTCAGAACTGTTGTAAACAGGATCATTTCATTAGCATCCCACGTGTCACCGTACAATAAATAGTTTTTACAAGAATGATGCCCAACTAAGTAAGAAAAAGAAATTTGGAAAGTTGACTAACAGGTTGCCAATGGTCAGGCCAATAATGCACAAAGGCATTTTTTCATTCATAATCATATTTCATTGTTACAAATTGTGAATGTAATTATATATTCTAACAAGTAAATGTCTTGCTTATCACAAGACTTGGTGACATGGGGCTTTGATGTGATACCTGTAGGAGATTAATTTGAAAAGCCACTCAGTCACTTGTCTAGTTTTGTCAAAGAAAGCACTAAATTAGCACTCAAATCACTGGATGTGGCCCAGTGGTCATTTCAAGCTTTAAAATTGTACAACACCGTGTGCAAATTTTACAACCACCAAATCGCCAACAATTCAAACTTCATTCAGTGATGGTTACCAGCTTTACAGTCTGAGCACTTGTGAACTGTGAGAATAAAACCATTACTAGATTGCTAAATTTCTGTCGCTTTTCATTTTCACAGGTGGTACTGACTGTGAAGATGGCAAGCCAGTAGACTGCCCCTATTGTGATCGCTCCTACAAACGTATCACATCTCTTAAAGAGCACATCAAGTACCGCCACGAGAAGACCATCAGCAACTTCTCCTGTCCTGAGTGCAACTACTGTTTTGCATACAAGTCGCAACTTGAGCGGCACATGGCCACGCACATGCCAGGCCGCAACCAGATCTGTGACATTTGCAACAAAGCCTTTGTGAACATCTACCGGCTCCAGCGCCACATGTTGACCCACTCGTCCGGCAATCGTAAGTTCAAGTGTGGGGAGTGCGGCAAAGCCTTCAAGTACAAGCACCATCTGAAGGAGCACCTGCGCATCCACAGCGGAGAAAAACCTTACGAGTGCCCTATCTGCAGGAAGCGGTTCTCGCATTCTGGTTCCTACAGCTCCCACATCAGCAGCAAGAAGTGCTCTCCTCTGAAGGAGAACCCTGTCATTGTCTCTCACATGCCGGCTCCTGTCAAAGTGATCAACGGGAGCTTATCTCCCACACCCCAGCAGCCAGTGACAAACAAGATGACTGAAATGGATGAGAGCCCTGAATCTGCACCACTTGACAAGATGCCTTCTTACATGACCCAGCTGCACATAAAGATCCCCGGCTCAGATAGCATGAAGGAGGCTGAGAAGTCAGATGACTCCAGCTCAGAGCAACAGACAACTCCACCTAACGAAGCAGTCAAGAAAGTTCTGCAAATTGTCGATGCAACGGTCAGTAAGTTAAAGATGCAAGGGCAGAACACTGACATTTCCAAACTGACTAAAGTGTCTAAAGCAGCTGCTGCTGCTCCTGCCCCAGCTCCAGTGCAAGTGAAGGCTCCTCTCTCTGCACCTCTACCTGCCCAACCCACCCCTCTTGTGACCCCAACGGCACCTCTCCCTTCTCCTCCAGCCCCCCCTTCACCTACTCGGCAATCACAACAAATACTAAGCCCAACCCCATCAACATCCTCAACACTAAGCTCCCCAATGCTTCCAACACCTGAAAAAGTGGTCCTGCCAGAGATTTCTAAGGAAAGGCTGAGTACCACCAACCCTGTGCTGTTTCCTGTGAATGGGGCCAAACCGAACAAAACCTACAACATTGTTGATTACACCCTCCGTAAAGTCCATGAGGCCCAGGCGATTGCAAAGTGTTTGGAGTCACAGCGGGGATATGGATGCATGCCTTACCTTGACAACAAAGGTACAGGCTGCAAGTACTGTGGCAAGGAATTCGAAAGTCCTATTGAACTCCATCAGCATGAGAGGTACTTGTGTGACTTAAATGAGGATGTGCAGAAGGTCAAAGGGTACAATAACTCAAACCTGGCCAAATATTATGAGTACCAGCGAGAGGTTCTTGCCAGTATGGATCGTGCACGGGAACGCAGACCCTCCACAGACTCTGAAATGAATGACACCATTAGCAATACCATGAGTGAGACTGAAAGTCTTGCCTCCCCCCTCACATCAGTCCATAGCCCCAAGGAGTGCAATGGTAATCTCCCCTCCCATTCCCATGAAAATGACAACTCAAAAACTAGCGAAATCTATCATAATGATTTCAACAGGATATCTGAGGCCCAGGAGCATGCGTTGCGGGCTTTTTATGCCATGCAAGCCCAGCCATCAGTAGATGGACTTGAGAAAATCTCCTTAGCACTGAATCTGAAGGCCTCTGTAGTTGAGGCATGGTTTCAACGGACACGCAAGCTGGAAGAGGAAGGCTGCGATCCATCTCTAAAGAGCTTGGGCCTTATGAAGAAAAACTGCATCAATAACAACCTGTTACGTACTCAGTCACCAGGGAAGCTGATGAATGGTCATACTGATCACAGTGAGACAGCCTCTGATGGCAGTCGCTCAAGGGTGGCAACACCTGAGAGGAGGTACAGTCCCAGAGCTGCCTCCACCCCACGGAGCACAGGAACAGTTGAGTCGCACCCCAGCGACAGGCTAGAGCAGCTGGAGTTGTCCCAGAGGCAAAACAGCCTCAAAAACCTCAGTCTGAGAGATCGGGAGGAACGTTCTAACTGTAATTCTCCATCTACCATGTCTTCCAGGCCCTCACCCAGACAGGCATTCGATGAGGCCCCACTCGATCTCTCCATGCCCAAGCACACCTGTCGAAACCTCTCGCTGTCTTCCATGTCCCCCAAGCTAGTGTACGGCTACAATTATCCCCCTCTCTACACAACTGCAGGCAGCTACATTTTCCAGTCCTACAATCCAGATGGCTCACGGGCAAATCTCTGCTTGGAGAATACGCTCAAAGCCCATTCCCACTGTCCAAATGGCAACGTGGTATTGAAGAGACCTTACACTGAGCCTTACTTTGCTTATGTACCAATGCCAAATGGTTATCCACCCAAAAGGATGAAGTATCCAGAAGGAATGGAGTTTGTCAATGGCATCTCCTACCCTACAAGTCCCCTTACAGAGGCATACGCATCAGCACTGATGAAGGGCAGCTATCCTCCAATAACCCCACTGCAGGTAGAGACAGCGCAGCCTCCTACATTTCGGCATCACATTGTTAACAGTAATGGAATCCACAGTAATGGTAGGTAAAAGTGGATTGTAATGAACTTTTAAAGGAAACTTTTTTGAAAACACTATACTCTAAAAAGCAGTTGTGAAAAGTGCCCCCATATCAATGAAAATATTTCACCTGCCTGATTTTTCTCCACATTAAATAAGACTGTCATCAGTATCACTGCGAATTCCAACTCCCATCTAAAAAACTAAAATTATGAAATCCTCAAGATAAAGTTCTCATATGCTTTTGACAGATGCAATGTTTATTCTTCCTCTTAACACGCTTTTCTTGTCATAAGATACATTTACATCAAATACAAAATGGAACAAGAAAACTACCTATAGGAAACCTTTCCTGGAAAGCGTGATAAACTTTTCACAGATTTTGAAAAGGAATTACACTGAAGTGTGGATGCTGAAAGCCAGTTAGTTTAAAGCAGTTGTTTGGAAAGGTTTGGTGTTAACTTCAGAAAGTAATTTTGATACAATGTTTAACTGCAGTGTTTCAAAATTACACTGTAACTTCAACAGGCATCAATGATCTGGCAATGACAGTTGAGGATTCTCTTGGGGAGCTCTCTCCAAACCGAGACCGCAGGAGACGGGACCGCCCTCTTCGGACATCAGCCGGACTCTACTCTTGTACCCAGTGCCCTAAGACGTTCCAGAAGCACAGCTCCTTGCTCAGACATGTGTATGAGCACTCAGGTGAGCCAAAAAGTCAGTCATCACTTTGCTTGTTCTTTTCTTTTCTTTGATTTGATTTAATGCGTTAATACCAGGCCTATTGAAGGCAGTGCATACTTCCTGCAAGTGTGACAGCAAAGACAATTGACTTCCTTTCATTTTTTGTCACAGATTCCAAAATTAAAATTGCTCTCGCATAACTGTGAACTATGCAAAGCCTCAATAAAGGAGTTCCCAGTTTTCACCTGAACAAAAGAAAAAAAATAAGGAGTAATTAGAAATCAGTGAAATTTATCTTCAGACCATTTCATTTTATCAAACTACAATGAACTGAAAATGTCTGAAAACCAAAAAACCTGCCCAAAGAGGAATATTTTTGGCACTGGAAACTCCTTTAATTGGGCCTTAATTTGAGGTCATCCATTGAGGAATTCACTGGCCTGCTGTCAGTCAATTTCAAAATGGATAGTTCTGTGCATGGATTTTATACTGGATTGACAGAGCAGTCCTTTCTGCTACTTATATATAGATGTTGCTTTTGAGTGCTAAATTTAGCATTTTGTTTATGCTGCTTAGAAAAGATATGCAGAGTTTGGCAGCACTTACATGTCAGCACTGATCAGAATATGTGCTTAACATAAAGTTGAAGGTAGACAGCATGGAGGTGAAAAGAAAAGGAGGGGTACTGGCTATACAAGAGATACAACAAAAAATGACAAAAAATGTGACTATGAAATGGAGATTCTGACTGAAAATGAATCTCATCCTTTGAATTAGTGTGCAATTTCTGTTGTGACTATTTATCACTTTTAAAAATCCAGTCCATAGGAATGGCTGGAACTGTGCATGTTCTCAAACTACAGGTAATGTCAAAGCACACTTTGAGATAACTGCCAGCTGTTTAGTAACCTTTTCTTCTACTCTCCTGCACCTGTACCTTTCAGCTGACTTTTTGCCCAGCCGCCACTACCATTTGGAGTGGGAAGTTGACTTACATCTTAATTACCCATTGCAATTGAAATCACTGCACAGGCTTTCCATTTCAAGCGTGTGCTTTTTAGTAATTCCAGTCAGATGGCCGTATACATGACCCTGATCATATCTTGACTGGGAGGGGGAGGGTTACAATTGTTGCCTCCTGGTTCAAGGCCAAGTCACATAATAACCAGTCTAGACACAGAATTGATGCACAGATTGCCCTCCCTTTTGTAACCTGTTTTGTTTTTTGAGGGAATGGTCAATGTGTAACCGCTTCCAGTACTTCAGCAAGTATTACAAACTGTGAAGGAGAACTGTATTCCAATATGTGTGACTTTTAAATAATTTTTGTTGGAAAAACCTTTTTAAAAATCTCTGTATTGAAAAAATTGGAGCACAGGCACTTTCATAAAGCATAGTTCTCAAAAGTGGTTTCAATAACTGCATGACTGTAAGTAAACTTGGCACAATGCATACATTTTAATTTTATTGTTTGGAAAAAATGTACCGTTTGGAAAAAATGTGACCAACATGATTTGTGTTTCACTTGGCTAAGGCTCTGTTTATGAAAAACCAGTGCTTATCGAGTCTTTGTTAAAGAAATATCAGTGTTTTGAGCTTGAGCTGAATTTAAGAGTCACAACTATGTAATTTGAAATAAGAATGTCTTTGCTTCCAAAGATTTATCTGTTTACTTTCAGATTTGTTCATTATGTACCGGTACATTGCATTGGTTTCAGTAGCAAGCATAAAATGAAACATGATCAATGCATGCATAAAACTCAAGGATCTACTCATGTGGAGTGTACATCCATTTCATCTCATTTTCACTGCTGACAGGTAAACGCCCCCATGAGTGCAAGGAGTGTGGCAAAGCGTTCAAGCACAAGCACCACCTGATGGAGCACACTCGCCTGCATAGTGGTGAGAAGCCCTACCAGTGCGACAAGTGCCTTAAGAAGTTCTCCCACTCAGGCTCCTACAGCCAGCACATGAACCACCGCTACAGCTACTGCCGCAAGGAGGACAACCTGAGCCGGGGCGTGGGCAAGGGGGCCATGGAGGAGGAGGAAGATGTGATGGAGACCGGGGATTTGGACAGGTGTAGCAACAAGCAGAATGGGATTGGGTACAAGGATGAGTTCACCCCGGCTTCGCCTCTTCATTAAGTGGCTCAGGACACCAACCGCAGGAAAGCACAGGAGGGACAGATAGCAGTCTAAAGCCAGAGTGACATCCACTGTCAGTATTCTAATGGTCAGCTATGAGTTTTGATAATGCATTTACGTGTATACCATATGATGGTATTAAAATACAACTTATACATTTTTGGTCCTATGTAAACAATGTTGATTTGGTTGCACATTCTGTAATGTGGGCTAGAAGTAGATTTTTTTGGTAACATTTCCAGAGCTTTGCATTCCCTGTACACATTCAAGCCTTGAACTAGAAATTATTGCGTATAAGCTCAATGCCTGTAATACAATGTGGCAAAGCACACAACACTGTTGTATTGTTAATTTTAAGAAGTGAATGTCTTCTCCCATTTCTATCACTGCCTCTGAGATCATTGCAAACATGACTTTAGGCAACAGAAATCAAGATGTGACAATGATGTATTTGTTAGCAGGAGCTTGATTTTTTTCGTTGGACTGACCACACAATTTGCCGTCTGCAAACCCTGAATCAGAGAGGTTTATTTAGAGTAAGCCTTTGATGTTGGCGCAGGGAAAATAGTGTATAAAGATACCAACTAAAAATGGAGGCCGCCTTTTCTTGCCCAGAGAATGGGTGCAGAGTCAAACAGTAAATTTGTGAACAAAAGTGTGCTACAATATAGTTTGTGTGCTATGTGAGATGGGAGGACAATATAGTGCTGCTTTGTGTTGGACTGGATGTAGAGGCCAACAAAGCCACACTCCTTAATTGAATTCTTAAATTAATAATAGAACAGACTATTCACAGCTTCTTTCTCGTGCTCTTCTGTAACAAAATCACTGAATGTTTGGAAATGTCTTTGAAAAAGGAGCAAAGCCTTTTTGTACTTACTGCAATTAGTTGAAGTCCACAGTTGGAGACAATTTTTTACTACCTGCAAGAACAAAAGGGAACTGTTTGTGAGACAGCAGAAAAGTTTCTGAAGTGTCATGCATGTGCACAAAGCTAGAGAACAAATTCCTAAAAATAACACTCGCTGGTAGAACTGTCCATTCCCAAATCCACTCTTGACATTTGATCCCTACATGCAACGGATGGGGATAATCATTCAGTTTCCTGGCATAGGATCAGGGATGAAACCTTCAATCAGTCTTTGTCACGAGATGCCAGTTCAAGAAAGCAGCCCCCCTTGTGTGAAGGGGAAGAGGGTACCAGATATGGGTGCATGGGTTGCATTAGCAAGGTGGCACACAACGCTATTCACCCTTCCTGTGAAAAGAATTGTATGAATAAGCACTGACACAGTCAATACAGAGAGACACATTCTCCAGGACTGTGAAGTGGGGGTAGACACAACACAACTGTTTTACTGCTGATTGAATGTGAAAAGCACGCCAACCATGTCAGAAGTTGAGAAAGTACATACATTGTATATGTGTTGAACAAGTGAAATTGTGCCAACCTCCTGTTTTTTGGACAGTTCTGGATATAAGATCATGTCTTGAAGATTGCTGGCACCCAACCAAAAGTAAGTGGTCTCTACGGTGTCATACAATTTTAGCTCGCTTTAACCATAGATATAATACCTAAGGGGATGATCCATGAAACTTGAGGAACACATGATGATGACAGGTTATTTTTTGTCTGCATTTAGCAGGTGTTTATTATAGGAAGCTGAAAAGGATATGGCACTTCCCTCTCCCAATCAAGTTGGTTAAAGTATTGCTTCCCCAAAGTGCAGCCGTGCAGCCATACGATCCATGCACTTTGGGGGCTTACCTCTGTCAAACATAAACTGAGTAACTGACAATGGATGAAACGAGACAAGCACTTTCCTTTCATTGAAAAACAACATGGTACATGTGTATGGGTTGTTGGGAAAAACAAGCAACAACTGTAAAAAAAATTGATTTTATAACGTTCTTGATTGGAAGCAAAAGGTATTTAAATAATTAGCAGACACTTGCCAGCTGACCCAAAAGGCTTGAAAGAAAACTACTGTATGTTATTGCTTGGAATACGATGTTGGTCAGGGCACGGTAGCAAAAGAGGGTGTTAGGAGAAGTTGTATATATATGCTACATGCAGGAGCCCCCCCAATCCCTGGTAGTCACTGTCTTGCTTACACATATTTCCTGATGTCAATTACTAGCCTCCTGCCTTGGGCAGCTCTCAGGATCCTCTGTAGGCTCTGGGTCTTCCAGTATCACAGGGAATGAGGGGGAAATTGCATGCACATTAGCACTTCCACTGGGGCCCTTGGGATAGGAAACAGGGGACGTGTCTGGTTTGATTTGCCTGTTCTACATCCATCCTTTTGACCTTGGAATGATTAACTGACAAGGGAATGATTTTGACACTTTCAGGGAACTCTAGACAAAGACCACATGTACCTTGAGTGCAAAGTGCAAGTGACTTTTTGGCACCACCATAAATGAGATTGGAAAAGTTTATACTTGTATTAGGGTATGCAGATTTTAAAGTCCATTTAAGCACTTGTCGCCGGATAATGTGTAAACACACATAATTTTCCTTATTCGTTCCACGGAGGATGTGCACACTCGTTAAAGAATTGTTTTTTTTCATTTCTACGGTTAATGTAATTAACGCATTGTGCTTGGTTGGTCAAAGTGCAGTTGCAAGGTTGAAGAATGTGCAGGTAAAAAAATGCCCCCAGCAGCTTTTTCGGGTTGGAAAATCCGACTTTAAGTGGGTAATAAGGGTAAAATGCATGTTTCAGCTGAACTGTCTATTTGTGACAGGTTCGTAGCTGTGCAGATAAAAATCTTTGCAAGATAAACTTCACTGCTGTTATGAGAATAAATCTGAAACAGTTCAACATTTTTAAGGATTTTTATGTCTAGAAACACTAGATTTGTACCTTGATCAAAATATTTTTCTGTTCAACAGTTTTTGAACAATGATCACTTAGAACAAGTTTATGTAAGAGTTATTTAATTTGTTACACTGTTTAAGTTAAAAAGCAGAGTATTTTTGAACTGAAATTCTACAGCAATTCATTTATCAGGGTTGCGAGACACAGTGCGCTACTGAGTACTGGCAAGGTTATTTCGGTGCTCTACATTATAAGTATTTTTGACAAACTATAGCCATGTGTAACAATTAGATAACACATTAGCTTGGCTCTTACATGTATGTTACTGGCTGTAATGCTTTACATTTGTCAAGTATGAACAGTATTTGTGATGCAAACTTGTGTTGCAGTGCGCAATGCCCTCTATTAAAATTGTATCATTAGTAAATATTCATCTAGTTTTAGATAATGTACATGTATACATGTAGATGAGGACGAACCAGGGAGTTTCATCTGTTAAATAGAGCCACCCAGTTAACAACATTTTGGGGGACAAATTTTGTAACTCCTCGCACAAATGGTCTGTACCTTGCAAAGCATTAGATTGAACTATCATGGCTCTCTTGAAAGATTTTTAACAGAACTTTGTACACTGTGTATACAAAGGAACAATGAATGAAATTACTTCAGTTGTAAGAAACTCATCTTTCGGCAAAAGGACTTATTGTACTGGGTTTTAAGACTGCATCAATTTAGATCTTCCAAACTTTGAACAAGTACTAAATAATGGGAAGGACTGTAATTTAAGTTTTCCTTAGAAAACAAAATGTAAAAATGTACATCTGTATTTTGAAATTGTTAGATTTGATCATAACCTTCCACCAGCATGTTTATAAGTGTATATTTTTCACCAAGGTTGTTTGTGATTTAAAAGACATGAAGATCATTGGAAATGAAGATTTTCTTCCTTTGTATGCAAGTTTATTCCATCAGACATTAAGAACAAAGTCCCTCAGTAATATGTGGAACAAAAAGATGTTGATATACTTTGTAAGATTACTTCAGCTGCTGTAAAATATGCCTGTAGGTCAGCTTGGAATGAATCCCCATTGGATTTTTTTTAATTCTTATTTGTGTCATCAAAGTGACCACTGTCTTTCTGTTATGCAGCCATGAAACCAGATTTAGTCCACAGCTTCTGTTCCTAAAATAAGTCTCTGAAGCTTGGTGTGTAACTGCATAGGTATTACAGTAATGTGGCTCATATGAAAAGATTTATGTCAGTTGTTGCATTGTACTTAATGGAAAGTAGTTTCATAGTTAGCTGGGTGTGCTATACAGCCAACACGTCACATTTTATTCAATTTGTAGAACTAGAAAATGGCTACAGGGCGTGTACGTGTAGTTAGTCTGTGAGACAATAGAATGTGGCACCCTCTTGTCACCTGTACACATGCAGAAGACTGAAAAATATTCAAATTAATTCAAACTATTATTTGTATGACAGTATGTGTGCTATAAACCATGGACAGTATTGGAAAACATTCAGATTATCTGATCATAATTACAAATGTTCAGTTAAATGTGAACTTGCTTGTAGTGAATCCCCAAAATATTCAGTTGTTTTGTCAACAACTGCTGCACCGCGATGTGTGCTTATCAACTCAACAGTATTGTGCATGTACATGTGAGCTTGATGCAGGTGGACGGAGTAATGGTTTATAAGACTATCCTGGAAAATACTAATGTTGACAAATCTTGCCATCAACACAAACACGCACCATCTTGGCATTATCTCAAAATGCGTTTATTTATTTGAGTTTCGGTGTGCTATGAAGTTCATACTGCTACAATTCAGGTTTACTTTATAAAAGAGCCATCAAAAGGAACAAAACTGTGCATGCTTATTAACCTTTGACCTGTAATTTATTGTAACCAGTGGGGTTTTAAAATGGCCCTAGAAAATGTATGTATTTATTCCTTGTAACTGTACTATTTATTTCAAAAGCCGTGGTAGCTACCACTGTGCTTCATATAGAGGAGCTTAAGACTGGCTACTCTAAGGTAATAAGAATAATTCTGTATTTATGTACTCTTATCTTTTTTGTCTTCTTGATTTGATGCAATAAAAGTTTCAAGATGAAAGACCTACAACTGAAGGTGACAACTGTGCACTTACATTTATAGTATTATTTAACAAGTGTTTAAGAACTAAAATAAAAAGGTAAACAAATTTGCAACCATATAGAGTTCTTCCCCTTAAATATCACAAGAAAACTGTACAAGAAATGTAGAAGGCTAGACAAGCCTAAACAAACTGCTAGAAACTGAACCATGGATATTGCAGGGAGGAGCTTGGATACCCCCCTCCCCCCGGAAAAATTAATGGAAAAACAGGAGGGAAAGGCGGGCTCAAAAGTGAAAGAAAAGGAAAATGCATGAAAATCACAATTTGTTTAAAATAGGGAAAGTCAGCCGGTCAACATGTTGGCGACCATGAGTGCCTCCCCTATACCCCCAAAATCAGAATAGAGCTTTCCCTTTCCTACATGTACCTCTGTGGCCTTACTGGCGACGCCCATGACCTGAACCGAGGGACTTGGTCCCAAGCCAACCAGGTTAAGAGGGGGTATTTTTGCCGGAGGGGGGGATTTAACCTCTTGCTATTATTAATAAGCACCAACCTTGGTTCTGACTCGGGTTGATTATACTACAAAGCAAGTACATGTATACGGTCATGCTATAATGTATACATGTACTTACAGTTAAGATCTCTCACACAATTATTGTGGGCAGTGCTGGTTTTCCTCATTCTGGTTAAATACTGGTATTTGACCACAGGTACCGTAGAATTTGATCTATGGTTACAACCTTCCTTTGCTATGCTATGATACATTCTTGACACAGTTGTCATATCAGTCAAAATCAGTCAAATTTCCCATATGTGTCTGTGCACTGGGGGAAATCAAGTGGAAGGCATTTTTGACTGTTTTTGATGGTTAAAACAGAAGGAGGGGTAATTACTAAGTAAAAAACCTTGCATCTGACTACGATTTTTACAGTAAGATATGCCATAATCAAGAGGGATCATAGAAATATTTCTATAAATCCCGAATTTGGGACTGACAGTTTCCAGTTCCAAATTGTGGGTCTATTTTGGATAGAGGAGGGCGGCTACATTCAGAAATGAGCGCACAGTTTTACTATTAATTTGGGGGTACCTTCAGGGAAAGGCGAATAAAAAAGTTTTTCGTGGCTAAACCTTATACAATTGAAACAAAAAGTGATCTTCTGGCCATAATCTTGAATTTCCAGTGAAAAAATGAAGGACAACCTCTTCCCAAGAGTCACCAGGCAGCACTATTTCGGTCTGATTTTGCACTGTTTTCTATGTGCACGTAGGCCTATCTGCCATTTGGTGCTGTGCAATCTTCAACAGGAAATAAGGCACAAAGTCTGACAAGAATTTCTTTGAACGTGATAAATCATGTAAATTCTAATCAATCTTTTCCGCGCTTCCAGTCCACTCATAAAATCACCTGACAGGCCTAGCCTACCGGTACCATAGTACTAAATAGTAGCCTACCTAAGCATGCCTAGGCCTACACGTTTTAAGAAAATTAATGTCTTATTTTTTGTGCGCAGTTTACAAAAGTTCATTGTGCATTTCGAAAAACATCGGTAACCCTGGCCAAATAGGACCAAGTATCAGGCCTAATAAACGTTTGACTCATGCCATCATGGGTCAGAGAGGGGAAAGACAGGAGCAGCTAGGCCCAACGCCACGCGTTGGTTAGTGACCGCGACACGTTTGGTAGGCCTATTTTGTTTCTTGTCGACCACCGCCATCACTTACCAGAGTGAATCGTGACACTGACCATGCCAAAAGTTCCACTTAAAACACCAATACTGCTCCCTTGATCCACACAGGTTTTTAACTTGGCTAAAAACAAATTGCAACTAGAAGCGCATCGCATCACACACAGAGTCGCAAATAGGCGCGTTGAAGCAAATTATCGTCTGCTAATTTTTTTGAAGATGAACTTTTGTAGTGCGCCCTCAGTACTTGGTCGAAGTCCCATGCACATACGAGCTGCCGTGCAGCTTTCTTCGTGTTGAAAACAAAATGATTAAATAAAAGTGGATTTACTAACTTAATTCCAGCCTGTGCTGGGTTTAATCTCAGCTTTTCACTAGCACTGTCTAATGGATTGGTGCAGCCGGCATGTTTTGTGTTTTGACGGGAGAGTATCTTCGAATGAATCACCCATGGTATAGGGTAGATTCCATTCAATCCAAGTTGTACATGAACATATATTCGTATTTACGAACCAAATTAGCTCAGTGAATTCATACATGAAGAAAACTGTTTCCCAACGATGTTTAAGGGGGTGCACGGGGGCACCCCCATTTGCAAATAATACGTGCAAGTGGCAGCTGTTGCTTCAGGTGTCCCTTGAAAAAAAATTGTGCATCACCTTCAAAGTTTCAACCAATTTTCACCACTGACTAAAACTTACAGCCTGTGCCGGTGTTGATGATGCATCAGCACTGTAACTCAATGGGTGGAAAGGTCATGTCAAATTCAATTTGACAACTTTTTTTCCGGACGTAACTCGGCGCAAAAAAAGGTTCAACAACGCGCAACTTGTTGAAGAGTCTGCATGCTATGTGCCAAAGAATACATCAAGAGATTCGATTGAACAATTTGCAAAAGACAACTTTTTTATAGATATGGCTTTCAGAGAGATAGATAAATTGTCAAGAGAATCCCTGCACAAGGTCAGGAACATCGTAAAGTGTGTTGATAACTTGCAAAAGGAATATAGGCCATCATTAAGATAGTGTTCAAGAAAATAAAAGTGAAATTATAGAATCGTTGGAAATCCATCATAATGAACCCCTTTTGAGTCTCTGAATAAAAAGGTATTTGTAAATGGGAATAATGGCTTTTAAACGTGCGTTTAAGACTGGCCAAGCACATATTTATTCCCTTAAATAACGAACTTTTTCATTTCACGTCGTCAGTGCGGACGGATAGAGTGGAAAGAATCAGCAAAGCGTATGATAGTAAGCTAGGCCTACTCTGAAACGCAATTACGCGCGTAATAACAATGGCACATCATTTTTAATTGTTACGCATTTGAAATTTCGAACGTGTCAAGGAAACACAAAATAGAATTGATGATAAACGCACCGCAGTTTTGTTGCAGATACTGCTGAGAATTACATCGAGTGAGATTTGCGAATTGTGATAGGCCTACCTTTCTACAAAATAAATTTTAGTCTTCTTGAAAATTATTGGCTTTTCGTAGAATCTACTCAAGATCGCTGGATCGCCGAGGCATGGGGTGCAATAAATCGATCGTTCGTTTGGGGCCGGAGGAACCCTGCCGAAAGAATGTGCGGAAGAACGTTTTAGGTTTACACTTGCAGAATATGTGGAGGCGATGCGGTGCCAACAAGGTGAGCATACAATTTTTTTTAAATTCCTTCCAAAACAAAGGCTGCAGCAAAGGATGACTGTAGAAAAAATCATCTTTCAACGTGCTGACCTCTGTTATCGCTTTCCATTCGTTCATTCTTGCCTTAACTAAAGATTTCCTTCAAGAGAATTAGGGGAAGCAAGGGGCGGTATTTTTCCTCGATCAAGATTTGCAAGCTCTTCATTTAGAAGAATTAATAAAATACTACTTAGGCCCTACATGATTTTACTAAAATGTCTCATGGAACAAACTATCTGAAATGCATGACCCAAGTGCCAGCGCTTAAATATCAGTGCCGTGTGAATAAAGCATAGTTTATAACTGTAATTGTTGGAAAATGTACTTAAGAAGTTAGAGGTTCTTTGGTCAAACTCCCCGCTCACTTATTATTTAGAAAAGCGTCCAGTTCAGTTGGGGAGGACAACACAAAAAATATATACATGGCGTATTATAAACCTGGGAAAAATCCAGACAAACACATAGGGGCTTATTTTCAAATCCAAGTCGTGTGTTCGAATTCGAACTATGCATGCACTGGCGAGAAAACACGAAGAAAGTGCCAATGTCACTAACTGCCTGCCAAAGGGGTTTTCAGCAGAGGTTTTCTCCATTTTTTCACTACAGGTTGGACCAAGCAAACTTGAGACTTTGGAGCAACCAGGTAGTTTTCTTTATACGGAAAACAAGCCCGAGTTTGAAGCTCCGAGCCATGGAGCTGTTAAGACTGCCTGGGGAGGTATATCATTACAAAAATACTTTTTAAATCATTTTGAAAAGTAAGAAAACCAAACGTGCAAATTTTGACATTAGCCTTGAGAACTGAACACGACATTATAAGCCGGAAGTTGATAAATAATGGGATAAATAAAAAATCGTTCATTGTGCAATCATTCAATTATGAAATTCCCAGTTTTTCGGTCTCTACCTCGTGTTTGTTTTTGTTTTTTTTCACTAGAAATGAACCAAGCCCAGGCCCAGATTCTTTTGGAGCTGCAGTCGTTGGGCACTGTCAGCTTGACCACCACGGATTCAGGTGCGATCTCCTTCTCATCAGTTGGAGACTGCAACGGGACCACGGGAGCTTTGCCAAAGCGCTGCAGGCCCCCAGCTCGACTCACTCGACTGGATCGCGTACCATCCTCGCCGGACTTCCAAACGGCCGATAAACTGGAAAAAAAGATGAAAGATGCCGAAGAAAGGAGGAAGGTACAGACCCCCCCCCCATGTTTCATTAGCAGACTTAAATCATGAGCCAAACTGACAGAAAATACTTGGCAAGGGAAGAAAATGCAAGAAAAGGAAAGGGATTTGTACACATTCCAAATTTTGAAACTTTCAAATGCAGGCCAAACGTGATGGGTAAAGTGCTTTGGTCCAAGTGTCAAAGTATGTTATTAAGAATTTCCTGCTAATATGAATTTCTCTTTTATTTTTCGGCTGTAAATGCTTTGGTTTCTTTATCCTAAATCGAAATTTCAAACCTTGCCAGTACTTCTCGGTTGTTTATACCTGACGCAGAAAAGGAAGGAGGCTTTGAAAGATATACGCGCCCACTTTCGCCAAGGGGAGCAACACCACGAGGTAGCAGCCGAAGCTGAGCGTGTCTTGAAGCACACGACATCCGTCAATGTTGCCGCAAAGCAGGCTGCTTTCCAAGAGCGAGTAGACCGACTGAGGGAAGCCCGCCTGGAGCGAGCCCGGGCCAAATCGCGGGCCGGGGAATATGCCCAAGAACTGGCCAAGGAGACCGACGAACTCGTCCGGTTCAGGGCAGCCGAGAAACTCGCCAAGAAGCAAGAGCGATTCGGAAATCGGATGCAGGAGCAGGAGGCCCTGACGATGGATCGCATCAGAGCCACGTCTCACGTGGTTGAACGTGCTACAGAGGTGAGGTGATAAGCAAGGAGTACATCAGAAGGTTTCGGTTTTTTTACTCTTCATTATCACCCATTCTTCACTATAGCGAATTGATTCTGCAGTTATGGTGCATTTGTGGACGGGAACAGGAATGCCATAGGGATTCACTGCTCATCAATGATCGAACGATAACAACCGACAATAGAAACATCAGTAATCATTGCAGCGTGATAAGAATAATGACAATAATTATGACGCCGGAGATGACATTGTGAATTCGCGAATTTGTAAATTTTTCCTTTATTTTTGTCTTGCAATCAGGTCGTTATTGAGGAAAACGGCAAAGAATTTCAAGAGAAAACAGCGGAGACAACCTTGACCAAGACACGGGATACAGCCGAGGCCAGCACTGAACGGAACGAGCGCTTCCGAACTCAACGGTAATGCATAATAAGCCCCGAGCAGGACAAAGAGAGGGCGCAATTTTCCTAGCTTGTATTGCGATCGCGTCCCTACCGACCAAATGAAAAACGTTCACCACCATGGCTCTTTTCAGTCGATCAGGGGGTACTTCTGCTTGCAATATATGAAATTTATGAAACAAGATTAGAGCGTATAGGCCTAATTATGGGACTGTAATGCAGAGTGTGGAATCTTTAAGTTACTTTCTCGACACAAACATTTCAGTGTTTACTATTTCAAGACTTCAAATTAATTTTTATTTCCTCGCTAGAAAGCCTTGTTATAATGCTAACCTTTTTTCCTAATTCAGGATATTGTTGGATGAGCACCACCGTGGTTACATTCGCAGGGCCCTAGCTCGTCGCTTAGCCGAAGAAAAAGAAGGGGCGAGGTATGATCCGGATTATGATGTCGAGACAGCCCAGGATAGCGATGATGACGAGGAGGACTTGTTCGAGCCCGAACTTAAGTGGCTCATATAAGGACAGTCAAAGATTACGAAATCTCATCATTATAGAAAAATGAGGTTGGAAAAAGAGATTCTTTAATCATGTGCATTGCTGTGAGATCATGTACAGTTTTGAAAAAGCTCACCTCACAGTGGGTCTGACTACAAAAGTTAACTCAGAAGTAGCAGTTGTTTGAAATTGCTGAATGGTTTGTTGTTAAATTGTAAGGCACCATTTTAAAATTCTTATCGGGTAGGTGTAGGACAGAACGGTCCGACCAATACATTTATTATCGCTAGCTATCTGGTTAAGTGCTCTCAAGTGGCGAATTCTAACTGATAAATGTCTTTTTACTGCATTACTTCCAAGGCTATATGTGGTTTCAGTGGAGCAACAACCCCTCCATTATTCAAGTCACTGATGGCCCTGTCCTAAAGTAAACCGATAGGAGTTTTGAGAGGTGCCGTGACTGAACTGTGTGGAAGAAATTTTGATATTTCCTTTAAGTTTTCGGTTCCGTCAATAGATGAAAGAGACTGGAAAATAACGTTTTAATACCTTCGTCTGAACGTAATTATTCCCTATTCCTAAAGACTACTTCTGGTAATCAAGTTTAAAATATACCAAACGCTTACCCCATAAAATGGCGAAACCAAAACGAAATGACAGTTTTCAACATCATCGTTTAAATTTACAGTTGACAGAGTTAACTTGAAGGAAACGTAATCCAGCCAAATAGTTTTTTTTATACCTGGGGCATATTAATGGCCGGAAATGGTATATCAAGGCCCATGTGGTTCTGCACAAGCTTTTTCCGACTCTGATGAACCCTACCCTATTTTTCCCTTGTCCCACACTAACGAAGCTTGGTGAATTTATGTTTTGGACGTTCTAGGACCCTAAGAAAAAGGGAGACACTGAAATGTCTCGATATCTCGCTAGCTATTAGTGAAGGGTTAAACACAAAGATGATGGAACAAACAACACAACATCCCATGCAATTGACAGATAAATGATAAGATTATAGGGTCCTTATAAGTGCTATGATTTTTTTCTCGGAAAACGTTTTATGCAATTTTATACTCTATCCTCTTCTAAACATTAGTTTATATCTTTTGGTGGTTAAGTGCATTGAAAAGAGCACTTTCTTGCACGTTTGGAATTGCCCATACTGTTCCAGACAAGATAGAGGCCACAGTTGCTGTGATGTTATTATGGGCAGACAATGTTTAATTTATAGGCATTTTTTTTTTCAAATTGTAAATCAAAAATTGATATAGGCCTACTCATTGAAAATATTCTTGGAAAGGGTAGCCTGATGAATCACTAAAGGCAACAAAACCTAGTCCTATAGGACAGCCAAAGATTCAAAATTTTAGCCTCTTTATTGAGCACAGACCAATACAACATTGAGGCTTTCCTCCCTGGAATAGCATCACAGTCTTGCTCATCAATAATTATCGTGGAAAATTTGTATTTAGTAAAAATACCAAAGAGGAACCATTAGCAAAAGAAACAATGGAAATTAGGTTAATTAAAACATCAAGGTGCATTTTCCGGGATCTCAATAAACGAAATGCTTCATTGCACGAACCCAAGAATTAAGTGTGTTAAAGATTATGTCCGATCGACAACAAAAACCATGGCCAAACGTTGGCCCAAAAAGATTCATGTAAATTGTAAGGGCTTGATTCGACAAAAAAATTTAACAATTTGGAATAAGTTTGTGTAGACCTTATAAAGTTGATTTATCCTTGCAGTTTAATTACATAAACAATGAAATGCAAATCTTAATTAAGCATGCATTAGTATCGTCACCAGGCTCTTACACCATGACTTCGAACATTTCTCGGAAAGCTGCAAGCTAAGAAAATTTATTGAATGGGAGCTATCGGTCTTTGTCGCTTCCTTTGTATTAGCATTTTAAAAGTAGTAAAATTGGTTCTAAAAACATCACTGTTTAGAAAAGTAATTGAATACCTTAACCTTTTTATTTGTGCAATTGCAATAAAAAGTAATAAAGAATAATAATAATAAAAAAGAAACATCATGTACTTTCTGTTCAATAGTGTTGGTAGTGGTTGTGTTTTTAGGGACCAGCTGACTCTCAATGAGCAAGTTTCTTTGGGAGATGGTAATGCCAAATGTTACATGAGTGTCACCGGGGGGACAACTCCTTTCCTGGGGGATTTCCATGGTGGCAAAGCACCCAGTAGCTTAATACCGATAAACAGCAGTGGGAAGGATCACTTTTGAGTTTTAAGTAATATTATAATTGGTTCAGTCACCCACTTTCATTTATTTCTTTCGCTTTATTCCCTTATTTGTCCTTTTATATTTTCCTTTCTTTTTCTTGGGGGTGGGGGAAGCGTCCCCGTGCCCCCCTTCCGCTCGCGACGCCCATGTGAAAAGGACTAGAGGAGATATAGGCAAATGAGCGACGGCGTTGTGCGTTTTTCATTCTCTATTTTCTCAAAATGACGTGCGGTGAGATGGGCTATCCTCCCATACCCCAAGCTTCCTCTTCTCAAAATTGAATTTCCCTAGGTTAGCATAATTGTTGGCATTTATGTCTTTAGTTCAAGGATCGGAAGGCCTTTTGTAGTTTAGCTACACCTCTTTCGTCCACACTCGCTTTTAAAAATGTTTTCTGTACAGGTAGGAAGGACAATTCGAAACATGGTGAACCGCTGCTTACGGGATGACGGCTTTGGCAAGACGGTCCTATGGATGGCTATATCGGTATGTACCGTATAGGCCCAATCTCTGTGCTGCATATCCCTCATATGGTCACAGTTTTAATGTGAACACAAACTGTCATTTTTCAATATGATTTATAGATTTTTTATTTTCTTGAATTTTTTTTCAAATGTTCTTCAAAATTAGCATTTTCCATAAGATGTCCTAAAAATTTTCTTTTTCTTGGAAATTTACTTCGGATGTGAACATTTCGTTAAAATAAGCAGACTCAGACTCACACGATCATAAATCCGACGTGCACAAGAATTAGACTTGATGCGCCCAAACTACAGAGGGCGCAAAATGTTTCACCATTTTTTTCTGCGCTATATTGCGACTGAAGGCATGGATTTTAACAAGACTCATTTCCCTTCAATTTGCAGCCAAGATAAACATTGTGTTCTTAGGCATACATGGTTAAGTCTGCACCAAAATCTAATCGTAAAGAGGTAAACATTAATAATGTGTAAATGAAAAGCAAAATGTCCTTGCCAGTGGATTTTTCCCCCCGAAATTTAGGTTTTGTCCGTGTTTTCAGCCTTGTTCGGTTCGTATTATAAATGTGAAGTGTCTTTGACTGAACCCTTGCGTTCAACTTAGCTCCAACTTTTTGTGTAGAAAATATCCGATTTTCTTATATTACGAGTCCAAGGTGTGTAGAAAGTCTGATGGGGGAGACGGAATACCCAGCTGCAGCAGACGCCATCCTTTAAAAAGGTTACCAAATTTGGAAAAGGGTCTTTTGAAGTCGAGCGCCCAATGTGGACGTATTATAAAAGTGAAAAGTACAGAATGGAAAACTGGGTACCAGTCTAGGGGATCACATGCTCCAAACCTAAATGCACGTACGTACACGTTCGTACATGTACGTACCCGGTAGACGCAGTATATTTTCAGCTAGCGTTTCTACTAAGTTGCCAAAGCCGGAGTTAGATCTCCTCGATTTTATACGCTTCACGCATTATTTGTTACAATAGAACCCCACAAGTCGAGGACAGGGATTTCAGCACCCTCTTTCCAGAGAGGGTACATGTACGTATTGTACTAATCGGAGTAAATTGTTAATGTTTCGGTCTGGGAGAAAATGTAAATCCATTGAACCTGAAACGTGAGTGCATATAAAAATGTCATACACAGTCGCAGCTCAGGCTGGTCTGCAGTCTCGCAAAAACCACGCACGGTGCTGTCTGTCTCTGTGTCAGTGGTTATTATTTATTAATTATACCAAGTAATTAATGTCGGTGACAGATTAAGTGTTTTATTCGACTCGGCTTTGCCTCGTCATGCTCGTGGAATGGAACGTTTCCATGAAACATTCATTAGGCCTATTTGTTTTATGCAATAACTAGGCCTACTTTCAGCTTGTCTGGATTGGGAAAATGCCAATTGAAGGCAACATTTTTTCGAAGAAACTAGGTAAATAGAATGTCATGTAATTTGAAGTAAATTAATACATAGCTTGTTGGCTAAAAAGCAACTTATTTATATTGATAAGCTCTCCAATCTCCATTGATATTTTGAATGGCTGTATCAACGTTAGTGTGACTACATGTATATAACAAGCTGGTGTCATCTGCAAAAAGGCAAAAAGATATAATATCTGATGTATTGCACATGTTATTGATAAAGCAAAACAGCAGGGGACCCAATACTGAACCTTGTGGGACTCTGCAAGATATAACAAAAGCATCCGAGTTAACCGAATTATATGAAACAAACTGTTTTTTATTAAGTAACTTTTAAACCAGTTTAGCGCAGTCCCGCGGACACCATAATGTTCAAGTTTACAAATCAAAATATCGTGGTTAACAGTATCAAAAGCCTTAGATAGATCTAAATATAAAAGTGTACCTACAACATATGAAGTTGCTTGGTTTTTCGAGCAGTTTTCTTCGGAAACCAAATTGTGAATCTGACAAGAATTTATGTGCTATGGGATTTTGAATGCAGCCGAGTAATGACCCTCCATTTCTTGTCGAAACTACGCTTTCTCAATCAAATCTTCCCCCCAAAAGCTGTTGAAACTGGATCATATCTCATTAAATGGCATGTCTGTTGGTTTTTGGACATGTACATGTGTAACCAACTAATTTTGGCAAAATGCAGAGTTTTTGCTTGCCTCTCTTCACAAAACGACCCACACACTGTGATCGTTTACATGACGCATCACATACTGCACACGTGTATGTACATGTACCATCTTGTACATGTACATGTAATGCTTATTATCAAACATCCAATAGGTGGCCTATTGTCAGATTTGCCGATGTCTCTTGATAAAATTTTGGCAAATTTCAATGATATTAATAGTCAGAATCATTGGGTCTGGTATCCAGACTTATATCAGATATTCATTATGTTGCATATGTAGTACCTAGTACATGCTTAACAACCAAGACTTTTGCTTAAAAGTAATTATTATCCGATATTTGGACTTAATTTGCAGTTTGCAGACAGAGAATTTTACTTTAATTGGGAATAACACTTCAGCATTTTTTTCCTACTAATTTTTTGTACTGCAAGCCTCACAAAATCAAAGCACCCTGACAAAAATACACACTCTACTCAGTGTATGTTCGGACCAGCGTTGCTGGTAATCACATTGTTGGCGGCATGGTTTTCCGAAAATTCTAGCTCAAATTGACATGGCAACATGGCTTCAGTGCTGCTGATGTCGTTGACAAGATTATTCTCATCAAAACAGTGGGTAGACACTGACTGGTAATCAGCGTTACTGTCGGAAAACACACCCACACTGGGACTGCTAGGCTTGGACCCCCACATTGTTGTGTATGTGCTACGGTGGCATCTCTGACCATACATAAAGTTACAAATTTAACCAATGGCAAAATGACACTGATGACTTTTTTTTGTGAATGTCCACTGGACCTCAAGAGCCACAAACCTTTTTCTCGTACACAGTAAAAAACGAGAGCTTGTCTCTGTGATGCATACATGTATGGGTCTATTCCTACATCATTGCTAAAATGATCCTCTAGATGTATGATTGAAGTGCATCTTTAATGTGTTGGGCACTCGATCACATGCATGCAAGTCTGTATACAGCCCTCAGTTCAGTGGAGTCTTTACTCTCAGAAATGGAGAGAGCTCTGTACTGAAGTGGAAATCTGTGGTACGGGTATGAACATGTCCTTGAGGGAAGACTAGAATGATCATGCCGTCCAGACTGCTTGATCACATGCCATGCACCTGACATGTGTTGGAAAACTCAACTGAAGATTACAATGTCATTCATGACATGACAAAGTGAGCACAATATGAACATACCGTACATACGTTTACTGTAAATTGTAACTTCAAGTTTCAGCAATACCCAGAAAAGTTCAGCATTTTCCGCATAAGTTTCTAAGAAGTCAAGTGTAAGAATGATGACCATAAAACTCACCCCAGTGTGGCAATGTGGTGAAAACCTGCCCAGCCTTGCAAGTGAGAGAGGGGAGGACAAATCTCTGTCATTGGGACATTGTATTCATTAGATTGGATTTAATGTTAGGCTTTATTTCCAGTAAAACTTCTCTAGAGCCACAAAGAAAAACATCCTGCAATTCAGTGTACAGTAGGCTTGGATTTTTAACAGTAAAGGTTGCTATTGCGATTGTTTGGAAAAGAAAAAATTCAGTCAGCGGTACATGTACGTAAGCTGGGTGCTGCAGGTTGTCACTGTAATCCACTTAGCCATGCAGTTGCCCTGTACCATATTTGGAAATTTATAAGTACACGTAATATCTTATAGACTAATCCGATTAGATGCTATAACTGCAGTGGCACAGCACTCACATGCGCATACATGTACTTCAGCTTGACGCGCGTCTACATTTGGCAAGTCACGACACCCCATCAGTCGAAGAGGTATGTAACGCGTGTGTACCACCAGTCCACGAGCGTTGGGCCACCTCAGTAATGCCCTCTTATTCTGGTTGTTGAATTACACTATGATATGTTGGATACTTGCAAATGTGCCATTGATGTTGCTGATCAGTGTCATACATGTATCTTTAACCCTGCTCTTACGTTGTAACTTTTTGATTTGAAGTTGACAAAATCACGATTTTGAGTTTGAAACAACGTTGCAACAGTTCGCATCTAAATGTGCATGTTATTGTCGCAGCTTGTGTCCATGTGCAGAGTTCATGTGGGCCTACTACTGTGTGTAAAGGACGCATAATTGCATCTGTATTCCATTGTTCACATTGTGACAAGTTGCTCAAAGTGATGTGTTCAATAACAAATGTATGATCTACATGTAGTATGGATGAAACCCCAGCAGAGGTTACAACTGCAGAGGATGAGAATTTTGCAGTCTTAGAATGCTTCACTCCAGGATACAACAAAGGTACACTGGTTTAGGACTTTTGCTGAAACAAAGACCTGTGATTATACTTTGGCCGGGCCAGTTCAATGACATTATGCCATACCACAGCCTGCTATGACCTGGACCCGATTAATTTAGAAGGGGATTTTACAACAGCACTAAAAAGCAAAGACCATGATATATGTACATGACATGCATGCATGCAATGCCATTCATGGAGACCCTTTTCATGGTGGAAATTGATTTAAGCCTGGTTTCCATGTCAATGTAAGAAAGCAGAGAGCAATGCAATCAAGATGCAAACTGCAACGCAGACATACGGAAACGTGTCTCACAGAAGTATCAGCAGTAGCCCAGACATACTCAAACCAGCTCCCGACGGATCGGCAAAGTTGAGCCTAGTTCAACTTTGCTTACTGTCTGTGTTGAGTCGCTAAGCTGTCCTATACGAACACACACGCTGGCATGACGTTCGTACAGTGATGTTCGTCTCGCTTAGTACCACTCATTTTGTCCATTTTCTTCGTATATCACTAACATGTGAAGCCCCAATCATCAACAAAATAGGTTACCATTAACAAATTACATTAAACTGGAGTACGTGTATCAGTTTGGCTTCAAGAGGCAACATTGGCACCTAAAAGAAGGCATTTTTTTGCCAAACTTTTCTGAGTTTCAGACCCCCATTTGTTTAGTTTTAATGATTTGGGTGGAATAATGTCTTGCAGCATCTCTTCCACAACTGTCTGCATCTTGACATCTTGCATGCCATCAGCGTTCATTATGACCATAAGGAAACCAGGCTTTACCTGTGTACTGAGACTGATGTCTTCCCAGAGCATGTTACGGTACTTCCTCAACTAACGTTCAAAATAAAGAGTTGGTACTTGTAGACCATATTGTAAAGCAGATCATTATTGAAGCCTTACATACGTATACAAGTTGAAGTTCTGTTTACCGTACATTTTCAACATGAAAAGGGTTTCGATACACATTACAGTTCCAGTACACTTGAATTACAACCTTTTAATGATGCTTATGGAAAATCTCACAAATGCATTTGTACAAAGCATTTTCTGCTCATAACCATACATTGCTTTCCCATGAAACTTGCAAAAGCGGTCTCACACTGAGGTTCTGTGAATATGTGTACATGTAGTTTTAGAGAACAGGAGATCGGTGGTAGCTCCAGTGTGCTTGGACCAATTTGCAAGATAAACACGTGCACTACAACCTCAACGGGCACCTCAACTTCAGACATACATGTTGTAAAGACGTGATTTTTCACAATTTACATGCTACATTTTCACTTCAGTCAATCCACTTGATAGACATATCGGTACACAGTGTAGAATCATGGCCCCAGCCACAGCAAGGCAAGTTTTCTTTTGTTGTTTTTGTAGATTCCGGTAGTCAGTTGTTGATCATTTCTGCAATGCAGAGTTTTGCTGTCTTTCTTTGATTGCTTTCAAAACCTGCCTTCTGTCCTTACCAGACATGGTGAGGGGCATTTTTCCTCTGAATAAAGACCCGATGTATAAAATTGACAAAGCTGTTAAAAGGACTACAAATGAGATAGAAAAGTTCACATTATACATACATGTGCCATTGTGGCAGTTTGAAAATATACTGACTTTGGAGAAAGAGATTACTTGATTCGTTTTGCAAGCACGTGATACTGTTTCAAAACAGCATGCTTGTTCCTGCCGGGTTGTCACCAGTCGTGGCGAAAATGGGCCATTGTGGCATCCACAGAAAGAACTCATACCATCGTCTATTGTGTCTTGGTCTTTAAATTTAGTTTCTTACCCTGGATATGCAGATTATAAGCCCATAGACTCAGTGTGATTGCTTTTATGCCCAATGAACTAAGCAAAAGGCAACTGTGCATTTGTACATTTGTTACACTACATGATCTGTAGTGCATGCGTGAATGTGCATTTTTTTATCATCTTAGAAATGCGAAAAAGCCCAGTATTCTGTTGCAAACAGACGTCTCCTCAGTTGTCGGTTTGTATTTGTTCCCCTAAGTTTAGAAGGACAAAAAGAAAATGTATTTGGGAGGAGCCTTAGCCATTTTGTTCTCCATTCATAAATTATAGTTCACAAATATTTTAACTCTTGGTAAGTAGAGTTTAATTTCACATTAGAATTGCAAGAATTTCTCCTCATTTTTCAGTCTTTCAGTTTACATTTACATGTACATTTGGTATTGAACGCACCTGTTTTTGTTCATTGCAGACACACACTGTACACGTACATCTGAGATTCGTACAGAAGTGTTTCACAATTCTGCATTCTTCTTTGGTCCTACATGTAACAGAAAATTTATTTTTATTGATGGAAACTGTCTCAGCTGACGGCTACAGTGTTTTTATTTCCGCTTTTGTCTGTGTGCGTGTTTTTTCCATCAGCGGTGAAGTGTGTGAATTGTTATTCGTGCCTGAAGGAAGATTCCTAGTTTAGCATCGTTGGTGCTCTGTCCATAGCCTCAAGACTCTGTGCCTATGCATTTGAAATTGCAGTGTATAGTGTACATGTACAGATGTATGAATATAACAGCAGACACGTTCACTGTTCAGGACTACGCGGCGTAAACAAGATTGACCCCTGGCTTATCTGATCAGTGTACACATGTACGGTATATAATGCAGTTTCCTAGTATTTTCTTGGCTTTTTTGTCAATCACCGCTGGGTCCCACTATAGTGTACAAACCATTCAAGGCAGAAAAGAAATTGCCAAGTTTGTGCATATATGTACGTGTGTAATGTAAAAGTACAATGCACCAGTACCCGCACATCATTTACATGCATGTGAATATTTCCAAATAGGTCACTTGGGAGACATTTTGTGGTAAATTTGTCAACATTAGGGAGACATCAAGTCTCCCTAATGCTCCAACTACCAAAAGGAGGAAAATTTTTATGTCCACATTTTGAGAGATGATAGATTAGGGTCTGAAAGGAAAACAGGCAAAGTTTGGTGAAGATCGGATAAGGGAATATTGAATTATGGGACGGTAAAGTTTGAAAAATTTTGTGCACGTTCCTATGGGAGTGTCTCTCAAGTGACCCATTTTTGGTAATAAGAATAAGTGATCTAAAATAGTATTGAGAACTCTGCATTGTTGGATGGACTCTGAACTATATGTACGTGTACCGGGAGGCCCCTTCCGGTTGATAGTCTGACTCTGATAAAAACATGCATAATTTGTGTACAGATCATGACTTAATGAATGGAATGCATATGCTGGGTAGCTAGCCCCCCCCTTTCCCCAGTAAGTGGACTCTGTGTGCAGTGCATGCATTTGTAATATTGAAACCTGCAGTACAAGTCTACCAATACAGGCATACCCAGGTACTGTATGTCGTGACACTTGCATAAAAATTTGGGTGTTAGCAGTTGCTGTACGTGCTCCAATGATCCTTTTGTACATTCGTGTGTCCAGGCCATGGCCAGCTGTTGTACAGTTGGACAGGAAATCGAGGCAAGACATTGACAGGAGAATGGGGTTGGTTATGCGGTATATAAGAACCGAAATGGAAGGGCAGGACATACAGTAACTGCACTGTCCCATTCGCCACGACTAAAGGCTTTTTGAGCACCGTAAGAATTGAATTGTAAGCACGGAATTGTTGTTCAGTAGAAAACTTTATCTGGACAGTCATGCAACAAATACATGTAGTGTTCTGTCATAATAGGGCCCTAAAGTAATTTGTGCATCTTGTAGAGGCTTTACTTGGTAGCCATCTTGCAGGTCAGTTCTTTTGTTGCACAGGGAACCCTCCTTTGTGCACGCCCTGTGGAACAGAAGCACTGACCTACAGGATGGCAGCCATGCAAACCCTCTGTACCAGTATACTGGTATAATATGTACATGTACCTGTACCGTACCAAGTACAAACCTCAGTATTTATGGTAGTACATGAACATCTGTCTTACAGTTCAGAAATCATTTCATGAGATTTGCATACATGTATACAGCGTTTACTTTTGTTTTGACATGGCAGATTTATTTTGACTCAAATAATGTACATGTACTTTGCAAATGTTTGTTTTGCAGCATATTAAAAGAAAGCCTATACTTTCTAAGTTTGCGAAAATTTTCTTCTCCACTAATGAAAAGATTGCAGAAAGTAATTTTAGTGTACATGTATTTCAAATGCCATGCCATCAGCTCAGTGTCTTTTTTTCATATATGAAAATGTTTTGTTTGATTTGTAAATGGGAATTTGTGCTAAAATACATGCATCTACATGTACCTGTTACCATTCCTTGCCACAACGTGTACATGTACTCTCCATGCATTCATCAAGTGTTCATTTTTTTGCACAAATTTGAAATTTCATTCTGGGACGGCAGACATAATTTTGAGTTTATGGGTAGAGTGGCCCTGGAACCTTTTCCAGGGGTGTTCACTCTGGCAAAGCAGTTAATCTCTAGCATTACACGTATGAAAGGAGCTTATAGAATTGAAGCCCACGGTTGCATTTTTCCCCCCAGTAGACCGTTACCATTAAAGCCCACTTTATGGTGTTCTGACCAGTCCGGGCCAATTTAGTATGTCTAACATCCATGCACACAACTGTAGGAGGCGTGTAGCTGGGACATGCAAGTTGTAGCATTGCGTTGGACAAGGGCCAGTGTTACTGAGCCATTTCGGTACTCAAAGCAGCGCATGCCCAAAGTGAAGCGCATCCAAGGTCATTGAGGAATAGCACCACACTTGCGCTCTCGTGCGCAATAGTCTGCCTGCCCTATCATTGTGGCCACACTCCAACTCACGCCTGTGCTTAGCACCCATAAAACCTTGCCTTTATGTACATGTATATGTTAAACCCTAATCTGGTCATTCAATTGCCTACGTATAGTGGGTGGGGGTGTGCTGCATTGGTCTGGTAATTAAGATCATGTTTCTAACACTAGCTGCCGCTTCTGTCTTTTTTTTTCCCACTTCATACCAGAGCGCTTGCTTATCCAGCACAGCTTGGATGAGGACAGTATCATGTTGGAGGATCCCCTCCAAACGGTTAGCAGCGGCAGGCTGACCTGGGCCTACGGGGATGAAACGGAGAACGACGAGGATGTCAAAGGAGGGGGGACAGAGACTGAGACCTCGTCGAGTGCCAGCACGTCCAACTCTTACAGGTGGTACAGAACAGGCAGGGATCTGGTTTTGATGTTGGGGCTTCAATGAGATTTTGGCCCTGTACAGTAGTTCGTTGCCACACACAAATACAATGTAAACGAACATGTAACATGGTTTGAGGTTGGATAGTCAGTGTTTGCTCCCCAAGGTATTGGAAGTAAACAGATTGGCAAGTTCCTTTGGCTTGGCCATGGGTGGTATGTACCTATAGTTTGCCCAATTCCATTACCCGATGGAGCCCCAGGTGTCATCTTTTTCATGTGAAGCTATATGTCAGGTGGTGTTTGCACTTCCATTCTTCACTTGGCAACAGTTCCACAATAGCTTAGCACAGAGCACTTGTAGCAAAACTGTTCCTGGTGTTAGCTGGGGGGGTGGTTTACAACTATTGGACTAGTGCATTGATCTGTAGCCGCTAGTGAAATAATAAACAACATGGATTACCCAACCATAAAAGACAAAAACGAACGTACACACCACATGATTTGTGAGGTGTGAATGGTACTTATGTTACATTACGAGTCTGTTCAGTCCCTCTGGACTGGTTTCCTTGATTTCCAACGTGTGAGCAGAGACAATGTAAATGGCAACCAACGAAAACATGACTGCCTTGTCCCTGTGCCCGGAGCACTGTGCCGCTTGCATGCATGGCAGGCCGTGGCAGCGGTAACCCGGGCTAGGCTTCACTGAGGCGCAGTGTGGCATATAGTGACTGCTTTCACTATATGCTTTCAGATTTTGTCATATAAGCTGCGGGGAGTACATGTGTAAGCTGCAGGCTCATTTTTCAGCGTGAGATATAAGTATATTTGTGGCAGCTTATATTCTGAAAATTCCAGTGTATACGTTTGCCGTTTAGACCCTAATATAGGTGCATGTACATTTCAGTACTTGTTGATAGAGAAATATTTTAATGAGGTTACAATTTTCCTTGTGCTGCTGAAAATTGCACATTCAGAAGTACACACAGGGTTTGAGAAGCCAAGAGTGCTGAACCCTGTTGTAACCCCTGCGTGTTTGCTAAGGATTCTTCCCCAATGCTTGGATATCACTGGATGCCTTTGAATCCCGTAGCAGTTTCACTTTGCCCTTGAGACCCTCAAGGTGCATCAAACCTCCGTGCTAGTCATCTTAACAGCGGTGCTAAAAGTTTCAAATATTGACTTTGTTTACCAGCAGTTTCAACAAGTGTTTCATGTAGGCAACTGGAATGCCATCTTGCGACACCAGTGGTGTTGGTCATGATTAGGGGGATGGACATGTACCTGTACATGGTGCATGTGCCTGATTTAGCTGCTGATGTACATGTGGTCCTTAGAACGTAAACCATGCCTACGTACACAGTGCTAAATTGGACCACTTGAACTGGAAGTAACTTTTAACTAAGTGCAAAGTTGTGTTATCCAATGGGTGCCTGCCCACAATCAGTCACTTTGTCTTGTACACGCCTGGTGCAGTCACGAAAACTGCGGCTAGCCTGATGCCTTGAGAATCTTTCAACAATACGGGCAATTCACAAAAGTGCGCCTCCAAGAGTTTGCAATGCATTGGCCAATCACACCACGCGAAATTTGTCGACTTTTTCCAAATGCGCATTTGGACGACAGATTTCGCGCATTGTAATTGGCCAACGCGTTGCAAACTCTTGGAGGCGCACTCTTGTGAAACGTCCGTATTCAGCTTAACAAGCTAAAAAAGAGAATGGGAAAAATGTGAGTCCCAGTCATTTGCAAGCTCCCTAGATATTAGTGCATGTACTTCTTCATTTGAATGCCCGAATATTAATTGACATCTAGTCAGCACTCGCTGTAGTGTTAGACTTTCTGTCTGATTGCCCTGTTTGACCAAGTCGCTTCTCCTTGCAGAGACGAATGGGTACGGCTGTTTGAGGGGCCAGACTACATTGATGTCATCAAACAGGAGGGTTTGAAGGGTGGTCTCCGAAGCAGCCGCTTCCGCAGTGTTTGCTGGAGGGTAAGACTAATACTGGCCACTTGGACAAATGCTATCCACTTCAGCTTGAAGTGTCAGTGACTGGATCAATTATTTATTACCACTTCTGTCAGGGTGACGCTGTTGAGCCAACTGTTTTTCAGTGGCTGGGCAAAATTTTTATTTTTTTTATTTAACAGGCAAGTTAGTGTATTTCATAATGATAGTAACCCAGCCGATTTTCATGTACACATATTACTGCGGTTGGAGAGGCCTCGGATGAATTGATATTCCGAATATTTATGGTACATGTGTTCCAGTGTCTTTTCATTAGATGAAGTGCATAGTGTTGATGCATCAGCAGAAAACCAGGGAACGCGTCAGTTTACGGTGTGCACATGACACGTAGGACTCATGTACCTGCTGTCAGAGCACCGTCTATAAGGCTGTGTTGCCCGAGTGACTGATTTGAGATGGTATCATGTCACTTTATCTCACCAGTTGGCTTTTTTATAAGTTACTGAAGTCTGTACTGAAAACCTTATACATGTATTTTCTCTGTACAGACTGATCTGGTGAGCCCATTAAAACATTAGCGTTGAGACAGTCCCGTTATTGCATTGAAGTCACATTCATTTTAAATTAGAGGCACATTGTATACTTTTACATTGGCAAAAGTAAACACATGATTGGGCAAAGGAGCATTGATCAGGTAAATAACCTGTACATGTACCCGTACAACCTCTATCACTGTCCGGTTGTAAGTGTGACGTCACTTCAGTTTAAAGCTCACGCTCAATGCTCACTGGACATACACAGCACATAGAGTTACGTGCATTGATTGCCATTTACATGGAACCATGGAACCGGGATTGAATGCGCAACTTCAGCAATCGTCCATTTGGAACCTGCAAAACGTTGGGCATGCGTGTGTATGACGAAGTCAGTTACGAACCAGATATTAATCTACTGTGCATTTTCATACTATGCTTGTATTTAACGTGCAAATTGGTTTACTTGTGGCAAGTTTTATGTCAGACTCAAAATTCATCTGGAAGACCCATACATTTGGCAGGGTTAGGGTAAATCTGGACGAAGAATAACCATGACGTGAAGTTCTACATGATTCCGTTCATCAACAAGGTTACGAGGACTTCAGCAGTTGGTCCCTGATTTTGAGAGAGTGGTCTCTGCTTATCGCTCCCTGTTGCTAGGTGTACTTGGAAGTGCTTCCTGAGCGACAGGACCAGTGGGCGGAGTCGGTTCGGAATGACCGTGAGAGATATGCTGCCGTCAAGAGGATGTATGTCGTAGACCCACAGACAGGCTTCAAGAACAGAGACGCTGACCTCAGCTTGAACAACCCACTCTCACAGGATGAGGAGGTGAGCGTTCAGCCTCCATGTGCCTGAATGCACGAGGGCACCATCATTAAGAGCTATAGACCCACAACCACCGGGCCACATTCCCCCACTCAGATTTTAGGATTGCTACTGCCGATTTGAGTACTTACTTGAGTACTGAAGATACTGGTACTCCATTGACAGGTTTATCCCTGACCCTCCAGGTTACTTTAGCTAGAAACCATGCCAGACACATCAGTCAAGCAGGTCAACTCTCCCCAAGGCCAAACAGCCTGGGAATCTGGTTGCCAGTCACCACAAAATCCAACAGTGGCCTTGTTAAATGGGACAAAAATCTCCCATTGTCTCAACATGGCCAGTTTGTTCAGCTGCTGTTTATTGCCAAGTGCATCAGACTTTTTCACCTGATGCACTGTGCTGCGTCTTTCAGGGTTAGGGTTAATTGATGATTTGTCTAGCTCAAAACTTCCCCTCTGTAGAGTCCCTGGAACCGGTTTTTCCAAGACAAGGAGTGCCGTCAAGAGATCAGTCAAGATGTTAAGCGCACCTTCCCTGAGATTGAGTTCTTCCAGACAGATGAGATGCATGACATGATGGTCAACATTCTCTTCTGCTACTGCAAAGAGCACGAGGACCTCGGCTACAAACAGGTCAGTGACCAAATAAGGTTAACTTTGAAATAGGGCATTTGCATTACTTGCCCCCAGCAGTAATTACAAATGAATTGATGTAAGCCAGAGAAAGCAAACTGTTCAAGTCCAGATTTAAATGGGTAAGATTGCAGACATTAGCAGAAATATAATCAGCATGTTTGCTTTTGAATTAAAGCTAAATGTATTCAAATTAGTTTAAAAAAACCAGAAAATTTAGAAACTTCACAGTGTTTAGCAAATTTGTTAGTAGATTTTCCTCTCTCTGGTGATTAATTTTAAAATACATGTGTAGTAAAATCCCAATAATTTAAAGAGGTAGGGAAAAGAAAACCTTCTTTCTCCAATTATAACCTTTAAACTATAGGTGGCAAGACAGTCATTCAAAATGAACGTGAAAAAAATGAACATTTTTCCCATTTTCCACTGCATATGAACATGAATGCTCTCTCACATCATGGAGCTATTATACACGAGTAAGCGCATACGGAGATCAAAAGGGTCAATGATGGCCACCGCAAGCGCTGCACGTGCTGCAAAGACAAAACAAATTACGCGCCACTTGCGGGCTATAAGGAATGCTCGGACTTGCATTTGCAAAGGATTGTAGGTACCGCTCATGCGAGTCTGTAACACTTCTGCATGTTCAACATGGCCACCATGAGACGGAAACCAACGTCATCGGAGATTTATATTTCAATGATTTTAGTGATTGTTCTGATATTTAACAATAAACATTATTACAAACTACTACAAATTCTCCAAAATTACGTGACCAGAATACCGAAAGAATGTAGGTGGTCCAGAGGAAAATAACAAAACACACAAAAACATGGGAAGATTGGTTTTCCTTTCTGTCATTGGCCACAATTGGCCAGGCATGAAACTTTGCCATGTTGTTAAATGCATTCCTGCAGCATGTTTCCACCTTCTGTTAACCGTAGGAACCACTAGCATTGCGACTTACGATATAAATATCGCAGTCCATATTTTAGGTATTTGTTCTCTACCGCCGGAACCGCAAAATGTCATAACTGACTTTAAAAACGTCTGACTTTTGCCAAATAACCACCGTTGATTTGTAATTTTCGAGCGCATCTGCGGGGATCACTCGCTGACTCATGAGGACTACTGAAGAGAACTGCGCATCTTCTTCGTGCATCTTTTGCACCATTTATTTACTCCAGTATGCCGCAGCAAAACATGGCGAGTCTAGGGTCTTGAAAACTGGGGCTGGTAACTGCGCTTAATCAGATTACAGTCTGTAGGGACTCCATTCTAACACTTTGTTTTATTAGCTCCATGCCCACATGTATGCTGTGAAAAATACGTTCCTCTCAATCTTCATTGTCTCGTACTCCATTTCAGAACAAATCTCACAATTATTTTGACCAGCTTAGAGTAAGATTTTAGATTTATAGATCTTAGAGATTACTATTGAATGTTTTTTGCAGTGTCAATTTAAGTAAATTCTCTCTTCATCTCATAGACACACATGTACTTTCATTCCGCCAAAAGAATAGGCTTTTACATGTATGTACAAAAATACTTCCATAACTTGAATTGCCCATGCTGCTTCATGTACATCCGGTTATCTCAAAACGGCCACCAAAACACATTTGAAAGTCTAAAAAGAACACAGGACTTTAATTATTAGTCATAAATACCAAGTGCACTTCATCTTTTCTACACTGGGAAGTCTTGTATGCACGCTACCATTGTGATAAAGGAGACACCTAAACCACCCGATAACCACAACAAATGGTTGCTACTGCGGGTGATTTATAGCCCGCATGCTTGCAGTGCAATTGTTGAGGTTTGTGTTGGCCATGTAATTGCAAGAGGGAAGGCCATGTGACCAAATAAAGGAAAAACCTGAGTGAAAATCCGGAGCATGTATGGGGTGTCGTGCACAAGAGAGGGATAGACCAAACAACACAAAAGAAAGATTTGTCATATGACAGTGCACTGTTTAGGTGGTTTATTAATAGAACAGATATCACAACAGAAAAGGAGAATTTGTGTATAAGAACTTGCTCCATTAGAATAAATAAGAAGAAGGGAAGAAAAAAATGATGTGTCCAATATTGCAGAGCAGGTTACGGCACCATATATACTGTACTTGTTTATGTGGGTATAATTATGACTTAACTCTGTTAAAAAAAACAGGAACTTTGCTAGCCCAAACCTTCAAGCTTTTATCCATTTCCCCTGAGGCTCAATTTATTGAGATTTTACTGTACCTGTATGTATTTGGCTGCAATAAAGAGTACTCGGGGTGAAAATAGATTTCCACCTGTTTGATGTCGTCTTTTCTGCACAGGGAATGCATGAAGTACTTGCTCCACTGATATTCATTCTACACTGTGACCAGCAAGCTTTCCTACATGCCCAGGAAATCAAATCACAAATGTAAGTAGAAATGAACTTTCTTTACAAGCAAGACGTGGCCTTCTGTTGAGGAGGGCAAAAACATGTACTACACTGAACTGATTGTTGAAATGAATCTCGGTTCCCGATTTCTGGAAGTTCGGCTGAAATCTCCTACACTGTGCTGAATTTTGTGTAATTTTTCTGTTGGGACACAATACGAAGTAGATGTGACCCACATGCAGGTGTCATTGTCAGCAAGGCAGATCTGTAGCATATGCCCTGCTGTTGAGAGAAACTGCACTTTTCAGTTTTGCAAATAAACCACAGCGCCTAAAATCCTTGGAAGCTCCAGCCGTTCTCTGAACTAAGAAGCTGATTGTAATGCAAGCCATGCTTCTCCGGCGGTGCGTTAAAAGAAGTTTTTTTTTGTTTGTGGGGCCTGTGCTTCCGTGCGTGTGATGATGCACAATTGCACATTAAAGGGTGAAGGCCAACGTTAACCCTAACCCCCTAGGCTCCTGCACTAGAAAGCATACTGAACCCCACAAAATCCAACAGGATCATGTACTTTTCTATGTACTTGTACATGCAGGTCACTGTACCAAACCTGATAAACTCCAACAGAATGAGCCCATTGGAGTTTGAGTGATATGGTATGGATGGGTCTATGCAGTATAGGATGACTTGCATTGAACAGTACCAAACCTGACAAAATCAAGCATAGTCCAACAATTGGTACAGCAAGTCAAACATTGCACACATTGAACCCTGTGTGTCCCAACTCACGCAGAATCCAACACCATCTCCCAGGGCCTTTCATCCCAAGTCTCACAAAATTCAACAAAAAGTTCATCAGCTATGGCAGCAAACCTCACAAAACCTGCTGTCGGAGTATGGCAGGTTTGGGGGAGTTAGGGTTGAAGTTGAAAGTGGCCTTTTTTGAGTTCAGCACTGACTTAAGCTCTGTATTGTAAACTTCCAATGTCATTGCTGAAAAGTGCAAAATGTAATGGTTTTCCTTTCAGCTGAAAAACTTGTCTAAAATGCACGTTTTTTCATCAGATTAAAAAAATTGGTGTGAATATGCACATACATGTATCACTTGATTTTATCTCGCTGATTTGGAATTGTAACTTTAATGCAAGTACATGTACAGACATTCTGAGTACATGCAGGTGACATTGAAACAAATTCTAAACAGAACGAAGTTATATTTGAACTTTCAGAACATTTCCATGTCAAACCCCAACCATCCCATCTCATTTTTCATCCCTGTATTTTTTTAGCCTTGTTGGACCTGAGAAAAGGTTTGATCTTCCATTATTTCTTGATCATATTACTCATAACACACCACTTCAATGCATCCATCGCCTTCCCCACAGAAATACTTCATGTAGTTGTCATCGTTAGGCTTCACCTCAGTAACAGGGACCCACGCAACCTTTCTCTGCACAACCCTTTGGCTCTTCTGGACTGGTTTCTGCAGATTGTGCTTTGACATCGATGAATACTAGAAGCTTTACAATGATTAGCATATCTGACACAGTGTGGTAAACGGGGCCGGTAACTAAACCTTAATTTGAATTGCATTTTCCTGATGAGGACACAGTTTTTTACCGTTGCTTCATCGATGCTCCAACACTGGGCGTGCCTCTGCCAATCAGCATCCAGGGTATAACCGTCACGAACTAAAGCACAACATTTGTTTATTTTCCCATTAATTTCTGTAATTGCCTTTTCAATTCACTGACAACATGATGAGCAAGTTCCAACCAGGAAAGCAGTCCCCATGGGCCTCGGGATGCTTATGCATTGCATAGTTGGCATCCATGTAATTGCTGTAAAAAAGAGGAGTGACATCAATTGTCCCGCATCGGTCAGAAAATCCTTGAATGAATGCAAAATGGTCACATACCCCAATTCTTTACCATTTGCTTGTAAATGTTTGTATTGTTTTGGGGATTAATTTTTCGTCCTCATGAGACATTTGTCCCCGGTTGGCCTTCAGCTTTGGCTGAAGACCTAGAATGGTGCCTTCCACCATGTAGGCTAAGGCTATATTTAACTACAGGTGTATTTCAAAAGTTGTTTGATTTTGTGAGGCCAAAGACATTAACATGTTTCAGTTTGTCCACAAACAAGCTGTTTTTATGTTTTTTAAACTGAAGCTTAAGCAGAGAGGTCATGGTTAAAATTGATACAGAGAATTTCTACATACATTTGGGAGTAGTCAGTGCGTAAATGCCTAAAGTCTGTGTCAGGTTACTAAAGCAATTTTTATCCTGCATTTGCAGCAGTACTGAATGTGATCATGTCTTTTTCCTTCCCCACACTTCTTGAAGGCCGGTTGTTAATGGTGAAAGGTACTAGTATTGCGATGCCTCATCTTTGACCTCTTGGAGTTCTCATCACATTTTCTTTCCTCTAACCTCACCACCTTAAAAACTGCCCAAACCCAAGAGGTTTTGCTCAGTTCTAATAAACCCATAACCATCTTGTTTTGTTAGAATGACTGGTGCTGTCCTAATTTTGCTTAAAAGTGAAAGAACATGGCCATTGGTTCACTGCACTTCTTGAATTCTGACAGTTTCATAAAGTTTTGTGAGGTTCTATAGGTGTTGGTGCAACTCTTACCTCTTTTGAAAATCACCTTTTTAATTCCACGCTCTGCTCTCTGCACTTTCCGGGGCATTTGCTTTCTAGATATCGGTATGTCTATTATTTTGAGGATTGGCATGTCGGCTATTGAAGTCACCTTTTTAACACTTCCTACTGTGTGGTACTGATGTTTCAGCTTTGTACAGTGGTGTCTTCTAACATCTTGCATTTGTCTTTCTGAAACTAATCCCCGTCTGTAACAAGATTTGACTGTATCAACCAGCACAGCAATTTAGCAAAGGTTTGCTTACATGTAGCCTTGCGAGTGCCTGCTCTTCATTGTGTGATTTTACGTTGCCTATTTGTTGTTTCCAGTCCGTCATAGATTGTTTAAGGCATCAGGTGTAGAGATGGGATCAGATCTACATGTATCTATTTAATATTGTAAATGGTTTCCGTTAAGTTTGTTTTCTTGGTACTCTTGCACGACTACAGGAGGTAAGGCATTTCTCTTAAGAACAAGAAAGGAGATGCTCCGTGAAATTACCTTTAATGAGTGAACGCTCACTTAGTGAGTTTCCAATGCTAGATTGGAAATCTGGGAATATCCAGGTTAGAAATGCTAAATTCCAGTTGAGCACATGTGACCCACTCTGTGAAAATGTGTCTTAAGTCGCTAGAGCCAGGTTTTGAGTTTTCATTTGCATTTAAAAGAACAAATTGAGCTTTTTCTTTAGACGTATCACTCAGTTTGGCATCCTGATGAAAGTTGGTACTCCATGGTAAAAAATGCTGTATCCCATTGACTTACACTCTGCAAAATTATGCTAAAGGCCTTTTTACTCCAAAGTGGCTCTGGCGACCTAAGACTCATTTTCACAGAGTGGGTCACATGGACGTACATGTTGCATAATTAAAAAATAAAGGAAAACCTTCTGTAGAAAGCAAAGTGCTCAAAAAGGAGGTTTTTTCAGGCACTGGGGCCTCTCAAAATTAAGTGTAAGCGATGGTACAACTCTTTAGAAAGTGAAGGGAGCATAAAATGTGTAGGGAGAAACATCCGACTTCGTTCTGGGTAAAAGAAAAAAACACATCAAGAAGAGACTAACAAACCTTGTCCACTGGGGGCACTATTCAGTTCATCCATAGTGGAAGTGCAAGGGGAGAACTATTGAGCCAGCCAATTCTAGTAGGCCTGTGCCGGGTACCCGAGTACCCACCCGTTAATATAAAAACCCGGTTCCATTTTTTAAAGCTAGATACCCATTAAACAAATTCCAAGGATAAAATGTATGTGAACTTTAATGCTGAAGGGTAAAATTGTTGAAAAATAACCATGTGTCAGAAATCATCATGCCGTGGTCATAACTCAGGGAAAGAGATTGATGGAGCTACTTTTGTTACAAATTACATGTGAAGGTAACACTTTGTGTAAGAAAAATGTGGGGGAGATTCCCCTCTAATGTTTAGAACAATGTGCTGCTTCCTATGTACGAAAAAAGAGCCCTGTTTCAGCACGTGGTTCACCAGGATTGTATGTAATATATACCAAAGAGTTCTTTATATTTCAAGGGTACCTGGGTACCCTGTATTGTCATAAATGGGTACCTGGTTCCAAAAACACGTGTCAACTCGCCCCTCAATTCTGGGTCAGCTGAGAGGTATTATAACCTGGTTCCCCTACATGTATTTGCTAAATTTTTAGCTCTGCTGCGCTTGAACATCCTACCAGCATAAGCCATCTATATTGGGCGTCAGATTCAATCAACCGTTGCTTCAAACTTTCAAGCTGTACATAGAAATTACACTAAACTAAAGTCAGCTGAAGGTGATTGACTCTAAGTTGCTAGGGTGTGTGTGAAAGCATATTTGTATTGGAGGATTTAGCCCTGATACATTAGGTATAAAGCCATGGAATGGATCCTCATACTACTCGTGCATGCCGGGCAAAGTCAGCAAACTTAGGCTGCATCCGAATCTCTTGTCTAGAGCTAGGTCTAGGTCTTCGCTCCATTGAAAATGCGTGGAGATGCGCAGACAATAGACCTAGCCGTAGCTCTGGAAGTCCGTTTCGGACACGGCCGTACCCACTGGTGCTAACAGCTGATTGAAGTGAAATTGTGCCACTCTATAAAAAAAAAAAATTACATTGTAATCAGGGAGAGGTCGATTTTTTCATTCATTATCGTAATTAAATTTTCTTGTTCTTCACTGTTGTTTTTCCAGGGATGTGGTGCAAGAAATCATGGACCCTAATTTCCTTGAGCATGATTCGTAGTAAGTATTCCTTCATGCTGTTTTGTTTGGTCACAAAAATACATGCCGTGCTTTTAATAACGAATTTTACTGACGTGCAACTTCTTCATGGATAAACTGACTTTCTCGTGTCACTTCTCGTGAATGCCATTGCCAGTGGAAAAACACCCCACAAAGTCTTGCCCGACTCAGAATATAGTGCAGTTTGTCCTGAATTCCCAGTTGCATTCCTTAGGTTTCATTTCTGAGTCATGTCTTTTTACCATCCATTTCATAAATGGAACTATTAGGGAAGGGAAACATGGTTGATAAATGCATCGCCTGGCAGGAGAATCCAGCTATGAATTAATGCTGTTTTATTTGGCCTTCTAAGTCATTCCACCTCTTCAAAAAATTTTATCCGATATCACCATGTTACAAATTTGTCACAAGCCTAGCCTTTAGGATTTTTTCAATTAACTCTTTGCAGTCATTTTGACCTCAATTCTGTGAAAATTGAATTTACCATTTTTGTGCAGCGCCTATTTTTCTGAGATAGGTCAGCCCAAAATGTAGTTACTTTTCCACTGTTGTGTTCTATGCAAGCAGGCTGACACACATGTGGCTTTGAATTTCAAATGACCATAAAAACAAAACCATTTGTTAGATTGAGTTGAAACTTGGCTTTTTTGTTACACAGAGTGTCTTTATATATGCATACTAAGTTTCAAAAGAATCGGGCATGGGACAGCCAAGTTTTCAGGGGGATGGTTGAGTTGAGTCCATCATGAGGCGGGCCCCATAAGTCCATCGCAAACCATCTGGCTGCAAGTCAAGTTACATGTTTTCAGGGAGATGGTTGAGTCCATCATGAGGCAGGCCCCA